AATTACTTAATTAAAGCTTGGAAACGTCTCAGTTCGTACTCGTTGATCTGCGCAATAGTCAAAGTCGCCATCTTTGTTTATATGAGACCCATATATCTCGCACATGTGCAACGCGACGACTACCGCGCTTTAAAAACTAAAATGAATGAAGTTTGATAGCATTTATTTTTTCGAACTCTTACCTTTCTAAGATTGGGGGCAAGTCCCTCAAAAGATCCTCGTTTATATACTGATACTCCTTCTCAGCGTCGTCAAAATCGTCCTCGAGCTATATACAAAAAAATGATACTCTTTGTTATTTAGGGTTTAAGACAGAGCATTCGAAGCCTTTTTACCTTATCGTGGTAAAAACCAGGTCACCCGAGATCTCGCCATCACGATACTGAAAACGTGACAATTCAATAAAATCATGCCTACCTTCGTCAACTTGTCCCCGGTTACTTTGTCCTTATTGTAAGCCATCTGAAATACATGAGAACATATTCACAGTTATGGCAATGAAGAGAACAAAATGGTCCACAATCATAAAAAAGAAATCGTTTGTGATAATAGCCGTTGGCTATTATCACGTTGGCGCTCTACCGTATTGCATTATAAAAGCGCCAACGCGCGAAACTTACCTCGAGTGCTCTTCGTGCGATATCGAAGTCCATTAACTTGTTCTCTCGTTTCTGGACGCGCTCCTGATGGAAAACATAAAAAACATACTTAATTACTTGCACTATGGACTTGTGGAGTTTGCTTTCTACGTTATTTTATTTGTATGAATACAGCGAACACAGATAATTAATTTGTTTTGCGAAATGTTCCAAATATTTTGCTCTTACTAGTACCCAATCATGTCGTGCAATAAGTCAGTTGATAAACTCGCTTGGCAGAGTTTCGCACCCCGGTGGGGGGGGGGGGGGGTTCTCTGAATAAAATATAGTACACAAGCTGAAGTAAAAAAAACGCGTAATCAAATTGGAATCAGTATGATTTTAGTATGTGTATAGGGTATCTATTTTAAGTTTCTGCACTTGAAAAGGGGATAATTTCACAAAAATAAGTATGTGTTTAGAGGCTTTTTTTGAAAATCTATACTTCAGCATTGGTACCAGGTCTTACTTGGAGTAACCCCGGGGTCGCATTTCGATTCATGACGCATAGTGTAGAAAACGTGTTTATTATCTATTACGTGTTTTCACAACTCTACTAATGGTCAACGTTTTCGCCGTTTAACGTGAAACCGATCACCGATTGACATTTGACGTAAAATACGTAGTCACCCGTTTTACGTTACCTTGATATCTTCGAACTGGATTTGGTATCTTCTGATTGGATCGTTCATCTTGTGCACATTCCGCACCAAATCATTCCACAGTGTTTCCTGATCCTGAAAGATCACAAGTTGTCAAAGTTAAAAAAAAAATGGATTTGTTGTCAACAACCAGCATGCGAACCGTGTCTCGTTAAAGCGGAAGGGTCGTCACCTGAGTCCCAAGCGACGATAACAACACAAGCTAAGATCGCAAAGGCTCGTGGGTATACGCTTGTTTGTAAACAACGACACGCTATGGCCACCTGACGCATGCGTAGGTGACGACTCCGCCGCTTTAAAAATACTCACTGATGTGCGGTGATAACGTTGCCTATAAATTGTTTTATTAACAGCGATACATAAATACATATATATTTTATAAAGTAGCAACAAACTGCTCCGTTATTTTATTTTCAGTTTTCTGGAATAATTTGTCTGTCGGTTTTCCTTATTTGCCGTTTTAACAATCGATATCGCCCGATTTGCGGGCAAATGTGATTAAAGTTGTGTTCCTTCAATTCAAAATTATGTCTGGTATGCAAATATATGATGATTCATCATCGTTAACCATCCCTATATGCTGACGTCACAGAAGTTCTGCATCCGTGTCATTTCCAATCACGTGACACATGTCAACCAGCGGCCATTATGTCTAAAAAATGTCACGTGACAGTCACTAATTGTGAACACTCACCTGCAAACACATCTGAAAATCTTTGGTTCTCGGCCAGAATTCTTCGAAAAAATCGGCGAGGATATCGTTGACAGATTTCATACTTCTTCTCACCTCTGGAAGTGCAAAGACATAATAAGAATTAACCATGAACAATAATTCCAATGTTCTATCTCAATTTTTGCCGTGCTAAATCTTTTTAGTTTCGAAGTGCGCACTAACATGCCACATATACGTATTTAAATCAATATATACATGTTGAATTTCAAAAAAGGTAATAATACGACCTTCCGTATACTATGAGCAAAGTCACGTTCGAAGTTCGAACTTTATTTATATGAAGAAATATATTCATCAAATAACTTTTTTTTTTTTTTTTTTTTTTTTTTTTACATAGGATTCAATTATTTTTATGTTTCCTCAATAGGGTCAAATGCTTGACTAGTTCAGCTCAATTATCTGCTTGGTCCACACCATTCATAATATTGTATGCTTCTTTTTTGTATCATATGTTCCAATAACGTGAAAATAGATAAATAAAAATAAGTTTACAAATACGAATAGTAACTGACAACATTATGTTGAAAAATAATTCTTATTAATATTAAGTACCGCTCACTGGTAGCATAGTGGTTGTCAACCCCTACCCTGAGTGAGTGTGGCACAGGCTCAATGGGAAGACCAAATCCTCAAGCTGAAATTCATTCACTAACGAATGCGACTTTGGGGGAACCTTGGTTAAGGTCTACAGGTGCTTGCGTCAGGAGTCAGGAGAGACAACAGTGACACTCATTGTCCAGAACTGTCGCCTGGCGCAAAAACATTATTAAAAAAAATATTAAGTACGACCTTGAATCCTCACCTTTTACCAGTGTTTCGTAACGGTGTATTTCCTTCTTGAGTTTTTCAGCCTGACCGACTTGCTGATCAAATGAGAACTGGAGATCGTCGAACATCCTATCGCGTGTCTGATCGCCGCCAATTTTACGAATAAGCTACAATAAAAATAAATAATACACCGTGCCTATGAATGACGCCCTCAAGCGACGAAGAATGTATGTGACGTAACGAGAAGTTCCATACAACTGAATCCATCTTTTTTAAATTTCTTTATATTTATGAAATATCTCGAGTCATAATTGAATATCATTTCAGTAATGACAGTGAAATTCTTTATAAATGATAAAGTGTGAATAAAGATTATATATATATATACTGTTAAATACTTTATTTTCGCTTGGAATTAATTTTCGCTATTTTCACTAAAGGAATTGTTTAATGAAAATAAAATCTAGCGAATATACCTTTTTTCTATTCTACATTCAACTTGTTAAAAATCAGTAAAAATAAATTTCATACGAAACACTCAAAAAGTCTTTTCAGCGAAAATTAATTCCAGCTAATATAAAGTATTCTACAGTAATAGTGTGATCGTATTATTAATAAGCAAAACCAAAACGTTGACTGATGATTTTTATATAATTGATTTGAGACGTCATTATTTATTTAATAATAAAAAAAATACGTGTAATAAGCTTAAATCCATAAAAAACGCTATATAACTAAATGCACAAACGGCGTTCCATAATTAACCCGTCATGCTAAGGGACGACGTCAAAAGATCGATAATAAACTTATTTGCTTTAGTTTGGGGTGGGAGGTTTTGACCTCAAAAAGTTTCTATCCTACAAAAACGATTATATATTTTAATGAAGTCAAAAAAATCTTGGAGTATTTGTAGTTCGTTTTTTCTATCCAAGTTTCAGTGGGAGTAGGGGGTTTGGAAAAAAAACTAAAGGAATTAAGTTCTTTATCCGACATTGAACTTTTGATGTTGTCCCCTAGTCAGAGTAAAATAACATGTTTATCTAGAATAAAAAAAAATGGTTTGAGCCTTCCTTCCGCCAAACAGACACAAATGAAAGATCAACGATTCTTAATATGTAATCGACCTACCTTTTCTCCCGCCCTTTTCCCGGCTTTTTTGGCCGTGGTCTTTGCCTTATCGGCTATGTATTCCATTGCCATGATTGAGACGTTGGTGGCGGAGTAGCACTACTGGAACTTATTCTGCGACAACTACTGAAAACTGTCTGCACCGACTGTCGACAATCTGACTATTTAAGTATTGAATATCGGTTGAATTTGTCAGACTCACTGTTACGTCACAAGACATAGTCGTTTCGATGTTGAATTGTAACCATGGACGCTGTGTGACGTTGCGCGTCTCAGGAACAACGTTTGTTTTTATTGTGAGTTATGAACACTAGAGGGCGTGCGCACGCTCGAAGTGACACAAAACCAAATACGCACATACCAGCAATAAATACGACTAGATCTAGAACGAATGTATATTTCTTGAAATACATCGCTTATAAAAAAAAATCGTTTTTCCTCCTGGAGTTTTCTTGTACCTGTCTGACATTAATTAACGGTTTTGAATGCACGATTTTTTTTTCTGGCAAATGCAACTTGCGCGATTGTATAATAAGAATATTATTTCTAATTTCTAAGATTTGATACTGTATTTAAAAAAAAAAAAAAACACTATCTGGAAGCCAATCGGACTTCTGGAAATGTGAGGGATTACCCATCTGAAAACGGGGTGAGGGTTTCTCGTAGAAGTACTCGTATTTTATGCATCCTACTTAACAACAATTTTATTATTCTCAACTTCTATTGCCGTCCGATTTTTTTATGTGAATAGCTATTGAGCATTCCACATTTCCCCCACTTCACCCTCGAAACTTTTTTTTTCTTTACAAAATCTTCAAATCTACCCTTAATTTTCAATCGATGAACCCTAACGAATTCTATTGGTTCGCCGCAATTTCAAAATGGCGGCGCCCATGTATCTCGCGTCTTGGTTTTGCCGCCGAGTGTTTCGACTCGATTTGACCTGTATTCTTTGGATTATTTTTGCCATCTCGCTTGCTTCAGTGATTGTGATGTACTTACGAATTATGCATATTACCAGAGTGTCAAATTTTAGAAGGTGAGTAGTAATAGATAAACCAGCAAGGCGAAGTGTCAGTCCCGTCCTGGGTTGTCATTAGAAATTTGCATATCAAAAGCGTTTAGTTGTTTAACCCACGGTTGACCTTAAAACGGTGCACTGTTTTGCAGGTTTATCTGAATCTGTGTGATCTGTGGACAAATTCTACGTAAACGTTTTTCTGACTAACATCGATATAGTGCATGTAAAAATCATAAATCTGATTCATGTTAAGTTTGATGGAAAGAGTTCTCTCACCCCTAAACTAAAATTTAAATATAACACTCCAGCTAGCCCCTAATGTAATTGTACATGTATATGCCCCTCCAGATAATTATCCATGTCCTGGAAATTTGGGGAGGGGCACTGTCTGGAGGGGCAAGGTTAGAATTAGAGTTAGGTGTGAGAGGGCCCCAAGGAATTCGTACGTTCAGGTAGAGAAGGTGACAACCGATTCGTTAGGAATGTGTACTGTTAGTGTTTGGCCTGCACTCGAAATCTAGTCTGTCACAACCACTATCTATACCTGGGCCATGGCATTGTGTCATTGTTGGTCGGAGGGTTAGTAAAGGATAACTAATTGGGGGGGGTGCTAGGGGATTTTGATGAGAAAAAATAATGTGATGAGGGTAAAAAAATATTCCACAAGCTCTGTAAAGAAAAAAAAAAAATAAGGCTCTCTAAATTTCATCGAAGTCCTGGGTATTATAATTTAAATACAGGACTCTGCACTCAACATTAATAATAATAATAATTTCATTTATTACACCATAATATAAGTTAACAAATCATTTAAGGCTGTTATGTAACAAATTTTAAAAACAGTAACAAAAATAAAAGTTAAAAAAAAATTAAGATAAATGCAGTTTAAAATTGCAAATTAGCCTGAGATAGTGTGGTGATATACAATTATGTATGATAAGTACATGTCTATGTGTCATGTTTCTTGAAACAAAGTTTTAAGTAATTAGTCACATGCTTGATTAATTTATGTTCTTTTGTATTAAAGCAGGAGAGTCATCACCTGTGCATGCGTCAGACGACCATAGCGTGTCATTGTTTACAAACAAGCATCTACCCATGAGCCCTTGCATTTTTAGCATGTGTTATCATCGCTTGGCACTCAATTCCCACCCATGCTCAGGTGAAGACCCTCTCGCTTTAATTATAATTTTGAATTTGTTTATATTGTTTTCTGATTGAAAAGTGGGAAGTACATTTGTGAATTCTGTATAAAGTATTTCTCTTTCAGTATTGTAAAAATCACACCCTGTTACAAAATGTATTTCATCTTCAATTTCTGATGAAGTGCATTGTTTACAGATTCTTTTTTCTGCTGGTATTTTTGGCCTTTTATGTCTGCCAACTTCAATTTGAAGTTTATGGCAGCTCAATTTCAAATGTGACATTATTTTGACGTCTTCTCTATTATGTAATAAATGCAGATAGGGTGATGTACTGATATCATTTTTAAGGAGGCTGCAAGTTCTGAGCTTAGAATCTGTTCTATTAATGTCACTAATCCATGAATATGTGTGGTGGTTCTTAGTTTTTCCTAAGAATGACTTTTTTGGTATGGTAATGGGGTCTATATTGTAAATATCCCTAAATTTGTCTTTGTAATAATGTTATAATAATATGATAGCAGGTTGTGATGTCTGCATAAATAATCCATTATCGCACACATCCCATCCTTGCCCTATTATGACACAATAATGGGCAGTACGGAGTCCTCTATTTCCTAAATAGATCGGTCAAAAGAGTAAACACATTTTCTCTATTTGACAAGTGGTTAAGTTTATTTATTTATTTATTTATTTATTTATTTATTTATTTATTTATTTATTTATTTATTTATTTATTTATTTATTTATTTATTTATTTATTTATTAATTATTATTTTATTTATTTATTTATTTATTTATTTTACAATTATTGCAATAATGAAAATAAATAAAGATGCAAATTGAACTAGCTTTAAAATATATGTTAAGTTACACTCAGACCATATACTGTGCATATAGCCTTGATGTTGAAACTTGATGTTTTTTCACTTGGTTCACTCTACCGTGACAGGTCAGTTCTTAGTTTACACTTATATTACATTATTATGACATAGAACTGATTTAACTTTTGCAGTTTGTCTGGAGATATCCAAGATGATGGTTTCTATGACGATGAGGAAAAAGAAGAAGCTGATCAGATGAATTTAATTTTAGATGATTTGTCAGATACAACACATATTGGTATTGAGGGATGGTGGATGCCACATGTCAAATGGTCACATGACGTCAATTGTGATATCGACCATTTTGGTATATGCAAACGAGTAAGTATGTTATTTTAGGCCGTTCTTGTTGATGTCTGCACCCCTTTGTTGATTCAGAGCTGAGATAAAAGTGAAATAGTTTTAACCATACATGTAGTGGCTAATACTGTACTACATTGTTTATACCTCAACATAACTAGCTCAAGTTCAAGTTTGTATGCTCAATGTTCCAGGTTCAACATTTTTCATATGTCTTATTTAAACAAAATACTTCCGATAATACAACTTTCACCTTTTGAGTGCCATAATTTTTTTTGCCAACATTTGGTGCAATATATTCCTATTTTTAAGTATTTTCTGTATTTTTTTATTCATAAATGTTTTGCTCAAAATTTTGGAAAAAATCTGTAAATATTGTAACACATTTCATTTTGTGAATGGTGAGGAAAGTGAACTTTGTCACTTAAAGCAGGAGGATCATCACCTGTACACGCGCAGGAATTGAGTCCCAAGCGTTGATAACAACACACGCTAAGAATGCAAAGGCTCATGGGTAGACGCTTGTTTGAAAACAGTGACACGCTATGGGCATCTGACGCATGCGCAGGTGACGAATTCCCCGCTTTAAAGGGGTTAATGGCAGCCAACTGACTTTACATTCTTTCACTATGTTGTTATTGACAGGTTCTCAGTGTGTCATGTAAACCAGAGAGTGTTAGAGCAATATACCAGTATTTACCGGTAAGTTCACTAACAAAAGGTCACACATCCTGGCATTATGTATGACTTCTAAAGGTCACACATCCTGGCATTTTACATGACCCCTAAAGGTCACACATCCTAGCATTATGCATGACCCCTAAAGGTCACACATCCTAGCATTATGCATGACACCCAAAGGTCACACATCCTGGCATTACACATGACCCCTAAAGGTCACACATCCTGGCATTATACATGACCCCTAAAGGTCACACATCCTAGCATTATGCATGACCCCTAAAGGTCACACATCCTGGCATTATGTATGACTCCTAAAGGTCACACATCCTGGCATTACACATGACCCCTAAAGGTCACACATCCTGGCATTATACATGACCCCTAAAGATCACACATCCTAGCATTATGCATGACTCCTAAAGGTCACACATCCTGGCATTATGCATGACCCATAAAGGTCACACATCCTGGTATTATGCATGACCCCCTAAAGGTCACACATCCTGGCATTATGTGGTCATAACCTTATCATTGTACATTTACCTGATCAAATTTGAAAACAGTGTTATTATTTTTGTGGATGCAACTAACATCAATATCTAGGAATAAATATTTGTTGTTTATTTTGTTTTATTCTATTTACATTTCATAATCTGTGAATGCTTTCTTTTTCAGATTGTAAATAATATTCTATTAAAAGGAATCACTTTTTCAGTCAAAAGTGCCGCCATAGAAATGAAAATGTTCGAAGGCATGGTAAGTGAAGTGTGGATATTACTGTAATTGCTGTATGGTATTTACCGTAAAAACCCTCAAATAAGAGCCACTTTGTAACACTTTCATTTCTGGGTGGTGCTTATTTGAGGTAACATTTTGACAACTTTGTAGCCAGTGGCTCTTAAACCAGGGTGATCAAACTTTTTCATTGTGAAATGGGGAAGGGATAATTTATTCTGTAAAAATACTGTTATGGGAATAACAAATGTCAAATAAATAAGAACGGCTGCTCGCTGACCGTGCTGCTTAGCGTACACGACGATTCGACGTTTCACCGACAATGTGTAGCGACGCCTGAAGTCATGTTTCACTGCCAATGCGTAGCGATGCCTGAAGTCGGATTTGGTAACACTCTCAGGGTCTGACCCACACTTGTACTCCCGTTGTACAATTGTTTACCAAGTCTGGTACGGCAAACTCCAATTTTTTTCTTGAAAACTGGGAATAACTTGCGTGGCTGTGGCTGGCGTGGTGGTTGATTTGGTGACGATATAAAATAGTTTCGATAGAATTTATCTG